AGAATCTCAAAATGTATTCACTTAGAACTGAATAGCAAAATACATGAAGCAAAAACTTACAGATTAAAAGGACAAATACACAAATACATTTTATCATAAATGTCCAGAATTTCTTTTTCCAGTAATTGAAAGAACCAACAGACAGAAAATCACTATGGACCACCACAAAGAGGAAAATGCACCCACCTTTCGATTGTGCATAAGAAACTTTTACAGTCTAAATTGGGATCATAAAATAAAACTTCATCCGGAAGACACTAAGTTCATACAAAGTATATTCTCTGACTAAAGTAAAATTAAATGAGAAATTGGTTACAAAAAAGATATTAGGAAAAATCCCCAAGAATTTGCAAATTACAAAATATACTTCTAAAATCTCCTGTGAGGGGTGGGGGGGAATGATATCCTTAAGGAAAGTATGTATTTTCTATTCCATGGTAAATGGAAATACAACACACCAAAATGTAAGATTCAGTGGAAGAAATGCTTAACTTCTTTAGCATAAAAACTTTAAACTGTTCATATCAGAGAAGAAGAAAGTTCTGAAAGGATGTAAGCTTTGTTCTTATGAATCAAAAGTAAATACTAGGGGCCGGTGCTGTGGCATAGTAGGTTAAGTCTGTGCCTGCTGGCTGGCATTCCATATGGGTGTCCATTAGAGTCCCAGCTGCTTCCTTATGATCCAGCTTCTTGCTAATTGCCTGGGAAAGCACTGGAAGATGGCCCAAGTCACTGGGCTCCTGCACCCACGTGGGAGACCCAGATGAAACTCTGGACTCCTGTCTTCTGATTGGCCCCAATTCAGCCATTGTGACCATTTGGGGAGTGAACAAGTGGATGGAATGCCTCTCCCTCTCTCTGTAACTCTGCCTCTCAAATAATCTTTTAAAAAAAGAAATAAAAGAAGTTAGAAAAATAACAAAGCCAAATGTCTATATGTTGAAAAGATTATTACAACTGGTATATCTTCATCAAGATTGACCAAAATAGGCTAGAGAGTGGTAGGTCCATGGTCTAGGAGTTAAGACACCAGTTGAAATGCCTGTGTCCCACAATAGCGTGACTAGGCTTGATACCTGGCTCCAGCTCCTCACGCCAGCTTTCTGTTACCACAGACCCTGGGAGCCTGCAGGTGTGGACTCCTGCCTCTCCTGGGTGAGACATGCACTGACTTCCTGGTTTCTGCCTTTGGCCTTGGCAACGTCCCTTTCATTCCGGGCATTTGGAGCTCTCTCTGTTCTATCCGCCTCTCTCTTTCCCCCTGTGTCCGCCTCTCACATAAAGAAATAATTTTTGTAACAAGGACAAAGGTATAAAAGTGGGAACAGGGAAATAAGTTGGGGGAACACATAAATCCTCAGCATGTAGGAATAAAAGAAGGGATATTCCATTACCCCCTGTATCCTCAGACATTACAGTAATTAAAGGGATCATCAGAAACAACCACATACACCAATTTGGGACATGCCCATTTGGACTTGCCCCAAATGGTGGAGTTAGAAATGTGCCAGGGGATTCCAATACAATCCCATCAAGGTGGCATGTACCAATGCCATCTCACTAGTCCAAGTGATCAACTTCAGTTCACAATTGATCACACTGATAGGTCTAAGAGTCAAAGGGATCACACAAACAAGACTAGTGTCTGCTAACACTAACTGATAGAATCAAAAAGGGAGAGAACGATCCAACATGGGAAGCTGGATACACAGCAGACTCATAGAATGGCAGATGTCCTAAATAGCACTCTGGCCTCAGAATCAGCCCTAGAAGCATTCCGATCTGGCTGAAAAGCCCATGAGAGTATTTTAGGCATGGAAAGCCCAGACACTCTGGAAAAAAAAAAAAAAAAAAAAAGACCTAAATGAAAGATCTCTGCGAGTGAGATCCCAGTGGAAAGAATGGGGCCATCAAAGAAGGAGGTACCTTTCTCTGAAGGGAGGACAGAACTTCCACTTTGACTATGACCCTGTCGGAATAAGATCGAAGTCGGTGAACTCAAAAGGCTTCCATAGCCTTGGCAACTCATGACTGGTGCATAGGGAGATTACTGACGCCATAAACAAGAGTGTCAAATTGTTAAGTCAACAACAGGAGTCACTGTGTACTTATTTCTCATGTGGGATCTGTCCTTAATGTGTTGTCCAATGTGAAGTAATGCTATAACTAGTACTGAAACAGTATTTTACACTTGGTGTTTCTGTGTGGGTGAAAACTGATGAAATCTTACTTAATATATACTGAATCAATCTTCTGTATATAAAGATAATTGAAAATGAATCTTGATGTGAATGGAATGGGAGAGCGAGCGGAAGATGGGAGCAGAGAATAATAAGACGAACTGGAAGTGGGAGGGAAATTATGGGGGGGGGGGAGCCAATGTAATCCATAAACTGTACTTTGGAAATTTATATTTATTAAATAAAAAAAAGAAACAACCACATACACTAAAAAACTTAGAAGGATTAGACAAATCCAATGGTGGTCAAAAGTAATAATCCATTTGTTAAATAATCAAGAAGAAATAAAAGTTCTGAATAGGTCTAAATTCATACAAGAAAAACAGAAAAATCTAGGCAGAGATATCGTTACTGAGTTCTGGAAAATCTTTAAGGAAAGGATAATACCAGTCCTACAAAAACTCAAACTATAGAGGTGGGAAGAATACTTCCCAACCTTCTTTATGAAGCTCTACACACTGATTCCAGAACCAAACAAGGAATGAAAAGAAAACTATGGATCAATAACCCTCATGAACAGAGATGTAAAATTCTTCACCAAGTGTCAGTAATTCAGGTCCAGCAACATCTGTGAAGGAGATAATATATATCATAATCTGGTGTAACTGATCCCAGGAATGCAAGGTTGATTTAGGTCTGAAATCTATTCAATAGAATTCACCTTGTTTATAGGAGGAGAGAGAAAAACATGAATATCTGGAACCATCCAGAAAAAGCATTTCATAACTAGTAAACTGATAAGAATAGATACTACTCTTGATCTTAGTCATAAGGTTGAAAAGCGATTTCACAACTATTAAAATGAATAAGTAGAGTTAGTAAAGTCATAAACTGCAAGGTAATATAAAATTTATACAGAATATAAAAATTTGTACAAAGTATTTTTTAAAATTGATTCACATTAATGTAAAAAACACCAACTGCTCAGGAAATATTTTATCAAAGCATATAAGATCATACACTGAAAGCTGGAAGCTCTTGTTGCATCAAAGTAAAGAAGATTGACATGATGCAGAGGTATATCATGTTCCTGGAAAGACAGAGTCACTACGTCAGTGTTTACACTACCCAACTTGATGCAGAGATTCATTGCATTGTCAATCACAATTCCAACAGTCTTTTGTAGAAACTGACAAGCTGATTTGGAAAGTATATAGAAAATCAGCAGGCTTATAACAACTGCAACAATTTTCAGAAGAAAATGATTGAGTATTCACATTGAATGATTTCAAGATGCAACACTCATATGAGCGATTTGGCATATGAGTGGACTATATAAACAAATGGAGCAACATGGGAAATCAGGATTGGATTCACATATATAATGTTAACTAACCCTTTTTAACAAATAGTGCCTATACAATGTGATGTACATATGGAAATAAAGAATTCTTATCCTTGGACTATATGTAATTGCTTTAATATAATATAAATCATAGACATGACCATAAAAGCTAAAATTTCAGAGCTTCCAGAAGAACATATAAGAAACTATCTTCCTAGAAGCAGGCCAACATTTCCTAAAAAGAACCAAACATGAAAAAAAAGTGATACATTGAATTTCATTAAAATTTAAAAAGCTTTATTCATCAGATGGACCTATTAAATATAAAATGATTAGGGAAGAAAAAGATTAGGTTAAAAATATTTGTAACACATATATGACAAAGAACTTCTATTCAGAGTGTATACATACCTGCTACTACACAGTAACAAGAGACAGCCTAATTTTTAAAACAGAGACATGGTTAATTCACAGAAGAAAATATGTGAATGTCCGAGAAGCACATGTGGAGTTGCTCAACACCATTTGCCATGAAAGAAAGTCCTAGTGTAAATCACAGTGAGATGCTGCCTCGCTTCCACCAGAAAGGCTAAAACTGTAAAGACTGGCAACATGAAATGCTGGTGACAACATGGAGACCTCAGAGATCCTTTTCATCGCCAGTGGGAATAGGAAGTGATACAACAGTTTGAAAATTGTTCAGCAATTTCTTATAAAGTCAAACCATTCAATGTTACTGCTTAGAAATTCCAATAGTAGGTATTTGTTCAAAAGAAATAAAACAGGTAGCCTCAAAAAGACACACAGGAATGACCATTTTCCGAAGAGAAAAGCAGAGGAACTATGGAGTAATTACACAAGTGACTACTGCCCACCCATAAAACAAATATGAGTGATGCACAAATCTCAAAATTTTATATGTAGTAAAAGAAACTACAAAATATCATATTCTATATGATTTAATTGATACACATTTCAAGAACAAGCCAATATAATCCATTGTGATGGAAAGCAATTTTATGATGATGACAGAGTTAATATGAATCTCTTCTTTGGGATACTACACTTGGATTACAAGGTTTCTTTAGGCTTGTTTCTGGCTAACTTTTTACATGTTTCTGGCTAAGAGCAACCATATAGATTCAAAACACAACATATTCTCTTTAATAACTGTTTCATTTTTTACATTTCAATGACACCAAAATGGCTAATGCATCTGCTGATTAAAAATATCCTTTCAGAATTTGAACTCTTGGTTATATGCAGAAGATTGTGGGATCTTAGGATCATAAGCTATTGTACCAAGCATTTTTATAAGAAATTCTAGTCAGATAATCCATTTGCCTATGATATGTGTAAACCCTATCACCCATACCCATAAGTGTGTATACACTGTTAGACTATAGATTCATAAACATAATGGACTTTGTTTTTAGTTGATTATTCTAAAATAAAAACAATAGGTAAATACTCACCAATTATGATTGGCTGTGGCTCGCTTTTTACACCAACTCCTGCACTGGTACTGGCTGCAACCTCTACTCTGTATTGAATACCTGGGAATAATCCACCAATTATTACAGAACGAATGGCTGCGTCCACAGTTTTGTTGATATGGAATCGTGTTTCATTTCCCAGACACCAAATCTACAGAAATGGAAAGTTAATAACAAACTGATATAAAATTATCATTTTACATAGACTATTATAATTGATCAAATATTTCAATACTGTCCAGTTTATTTTCTAGGTTTATACAAGTGTTTGTGATGTTTTCTAAACCTCAACCTCTGTTGTTAGTTTACATACATATGCATGTATGTGTGAGTATGAATGTATTAAAAGAACAATTAGAGAAGATAAAATTTGCTATGTTCATTTATATCTTATTATCAGCACTGACTGCTCATACTGCTCATACTGAGTAACTTAGAAGGCAAAATGATCCCTTTAACACCTCTTGAAAGCATCCCTTGGTTGCAAATGGAATTTTGGTATAGATTGAAACACCTAACTTCCTCTGTTTATCAACATGTATCATGCATCAAATCTATTAAAATATTATCATTTATTATACCAAAGGTATACAGTAAAATCTAAGAAATTTATATTTAAGAAAATATTAACTTATACAGTATCTAACAAGATTAACTCATGTAAGATATAGGTATTGACTACAATGAAATTAAAGCCAATATTTATCTTGACGTTAATAAATTTTACATATGTGCAAGAAAGCAAAGTGGGGGAAAGTCTTTCATCACTGCTGTAAGGAATTCTAGGCTTTCACTTCAAGTAGGAAACAAATTTTAGGGCATATCATCTTCTGGGATATGAAAATGTGTTATTGTAAAAAGTGTTCTAAGACTATGTAGAGATATATAGGAATATATGTGGTTTGTTTCTGAAGCAGGTACACTGCTTAAACTTTTTCAGTAAAATAATTCTTGTGAATTGTATGCTTCTTTTATTTCCATTTGACATGTATTCTTAACATAATAATATTATCTCTCCCCTAAACTTACACTTTGTTACCAAAATACAACAGGTCATATGAGTAAGAAACTTTGCAACATACAAAAAAAATTCATCTTATAAAAATATATCAAAATTTAACAAAATGGAAATTTAAGATAACTAGTCCCAGATGGTTTAAAGTAAATTTCTAACCTCATTAAAACACACACACACACACACACACATGCACATAATCAAACTTACATTCACACACCACAGTGGATTCTTGACTGTTAAAACAATGTTCCAACACTTGTAAAATTTTAGGAATTATTGAATTATGCTATTGTAAAAACATTTATTTTTTATTCCTTACAGATGGTTCTTTATAATGTAATGGGAATCATTTTAAATAAGTGCTTATGCATTTAGTCTGCCAATTTGCCTCAGCATATTGACCTTTAATAAATTCTATTTAGCAATTCTTTCTTATAAATAAATTCAATTTGTAAAGTTTTGGTGGAATTATTCAGCTTAATTTCACATACCAAATATGTAATTGGGCAGTGAGATAGAAATGTCTAGTTATTTATCATATCAGATTTACCTAGTATGTTATTTTTGGGAACTCTAAGAATATGTATTAACAGAAAACTCATAGGAAATCTTCCAAGGCTTAATGAGTTTGAAACTTGTCTGTGTTCTAGTCACAGAACAATTGACTACAACCTTACTTCAGAAAGTTAGACATATATTTTTTTCTCAATCAAGGGGATGAGACAATACATAGATGCTGCTTCTAAATTGTAACACACTCACCAGTTGAAAAGTAAGACAACTGTTTTTTACAGGTCAGTTTTTCAAAGTTTGCTGTGTCAATGTCTGCCTTTTGTTCAAGTTCGACATTGTATAAAACTTCAATGAGTAGATAAAAAGCAGCATTTAGGGTAGCAGCTGGTGCAGTCCATCTCCTATCCCGTCCCGCCCAACCCCTCCCTCTGCACCCTTGAAGATTCTTCGTTCCTGGGGATATCGTTTTAGACAACTGCCCTGAAGCTTCTTACGCAGAATTCTAGTACCAATGATAAAGGCGATTTCTGGAATGAGAACTCCATTACCTACCCTCTACCCCATCTCTCTAAATTCTTAAGGTTCTCAAAGTATACTTTTCATAAAACCACTCAGCTAATTTGTCCAACTAAGATTGTGTCATCTGTGACCTTCAGGGCAGGTTCTCAGCCCCTTCGTATTTGTTTCTAAATCTGACACGGAAAGATATAAACAATCATTTTCCACTTAGACTTTCTAAGAGAACATTTAACAATAGGTCCTATTCATGGGACACAGAGATTTGCAGGTACCATTAAACTGCGAGTCTTCCTTCTTCACCCAGGCTTTACCTTATATTCTTGGATGATTCCATTCTGGTGATCTGGAGGAGGAGGATCCCAGGAAACACTAATGCTTGTGCTGTTCTGGCTTCCGACGGTCAGTACAGTGACAGACTGTGGAGGGGCACTGGGGGCTGCAGAGGAAGTAATCAGAATAAATGCAAACTGTATGTCTTGGTGTGCACTGATATTGCTTACAGAATGTGAACAAGAAGACAAAGGATCTGAATCTGTGTATAGTGATCTGCCATAGCAATTCTTTGAAATATAACCTTTAAATTCAATGGATAGATTTAAAGCCAGTGTAACCACTAGGGTAAGATGAGCTACATAATAACCTCAAAAGCTAACATTCTCTTTAAAAAATTATTTGAGAAGCAGAAAGATAGACACATATACACATACACAGGGAGGGAGATGGGGAGGAGGAGGAGGAAGAGAAGGAGGAGGAGGAGGAAGAGAAAAGAGAGAGAGAGAGATCGAGTGCGAGCTCCCCCATCTGCTGGTTTCACTGCGCAAATGCCCTCAACAGCCAGGGAGCTGATGCCAGGAACAGGGAACCAACCTGGGACTCTCATGTGCAAGGCAGGAATCCAAGCACTTGAGCCAACACTGCTGCCTCCCAGGACCTGCATCAGCAGGAAGCTGGAGTCAGGAGCCAGACTCTGGTATCAAACCCTAGCACTCCAGTTTAGGAGGCACATGCCTTCACGCCTAGGCCAAACGCCCACCCCAACAGCTAACATTCTTAGGGGTGTTTTCTATATGCCCAGCACTAAGTGTCAGGTTTGATACCCACAATAATCTGGGAGGTAAACACAACTCTTATCTTAGTATTACAGATGTGAAAACACACAGCTACTGTAAGAAACTAATTGAAGTCAAACATACACTTGGGCATGTCCAAGTCTAGAACATCAATTATTCTGACTCTAGCAGGTCATCTTTCTGAAAGAAAAACAACCACTTCTCCCAACCAAAAATATTCCGAAAGGATATATTCCAAAATTTTGTCAAGCATTATTTCTGAAAATAATGCTATTGTTTTAGTTTGTGTTCACAAAATAAAAATAGTAACATGGAAAAAGATAATTTTCTTGGCATGTTAGGAAAAGTAATCTGTTATAAATTGATCCCCAATTTAAGATTTAAAACTTATTTTATGTGGATGGCCAAGGAAACCTGATGATAAAAATGAAAAGAGTTCATGTAGGGTCAAATGTGAAATGGGCAGATTTTGATTTCCTACAATAATTCTCTTCCTTTACAGTTTCTCCTATAAATAATTACAACCACGCTCAGAAGGGATGGATGGCAATTCCTGAGTGCAGGTTGCAACGTCTCCCACGCAGTGCATCCGAGAGCTCAGAATACTCATTCTGCAGAAAAACTTAGCCATCCTCAGTCTCTGAATTTGGGTTCAAAGTAGGAGGAGTCCAATCAAGGTAGTACAAAAAATCCTCCTTGACACTTAAAAAAAAAAACCCTAAGAATATTATGCTATTAAAGGATTTTTTTTCCCAATAAAATCAACGCTTTCTTAATTCTACACCATTAAGTCCTTGGAAAGTTTTCTAAATACCCTAAAAGTCATTTTAAAAGCTTGCCAATGAGGGAGGTCTCCCTTGTTTGGTAAATTTGTCATAATGTATTTCACTGAGGTATCACCGTATCTGCACTGAGTTACAGAATCAGAGCAGTCACATATTACCACAATGCTGCTTTTTATTATCTCTCTATGTAACAATATTGCTCCAAAATATGGCACAATGACAAAAAACTAATGACTTGTCTATGAGCCTTATTAAGTAGGCTGCACTGAGAAAGAACACTTTTGAAACTGGTTTCTCATCCACTTTACGGCTGGCATGGTGAGAACACCAGGCCCGCTCCCTGACAGGTCAATTAGTTCAGTGCTCAGCTTCTTTCTACAGATGTGGAAGAACCCACATTGCCACTCATTGTTCCTACACATAGCCCAGCTGAGTTCTATTTGTTATCTTCACAAGACCACAGAAGTTGGAGATGAATGTATGCTGAACGGTGACAAATGTCTAATCCAGAGGAAGAATCTAGTGGAAGAGAAATTGATTTCTGGAAGTAAACTTCAAACGGAGACTTCTATATTAACGGTACTCTCCCGACTCATTAGACTCCCATTTCACAACGTGAAGTACAACTGATTGATGGCTAAGACACTATGACTACATTTTAGTAATTTTTCTTTTATTTACATAGTTCAAAAGTAGACTGATGATGCATTTAAAGATACACATTTCTGCCCATGCCAATGTTTTCCACTGTAAACCAAGCTGAGGGTAATTGCAGGAGCATATAACTCAAAAAAGCTCATTGTTTAAATATGGACATTTCCCTGGTAGCATGCACAACCTGTTTATAGTTTTTTAAGGCTGTTGTTATATAATTTTGTAGGAAATATGTTTAAAGGAAATTATTTTTACAGCAGTGTTGAATTCAAATTTAGTGCAAAAGAAGAATGGGTGGGGATTTATTTTATTTGCATCTCATTTTTTTTACTTTGATAGCAACATTTATTATACATCTCTCATTTAGTGAAGGAGACACTAGTACATGGAATGGCCGAGACAGATGTTAATCTCATGTCTATCACAGACTGACTTGAACGTATCTGTAGGTAAGAAGGGCGAAATGGAGGCAAAATGACTAAGAAGAAAGCTATTGCAAACTTGCAAATGGCCTTCCAAATCAGAAATAATGGTAAGACTGGTAGCACCCACAGAGGAAAAGCATTTATAAAGAAAATGTCACACTTTCTTATATCCAAAATAAAAAAGCAGCCACCATGATCAGCCTGTGTTATTCGAGTTTCCAGTAGACTGTTCTTTCAAGAAGCCAAATGAGCTAAATCTACGTTAAAAAAAAAAAAATGGGATTACAGGATCACCAAATTCAAATGCACTGCAAAACATAAGATTTGGGGCTTAGTTTACTTAGAAATATTCAAATACCTCAATCTTTTTAATTGTCAGACTCTATGGAATTTTCAGATGTCTGGATTCACTTTTACATGATCTCTTTCTCTTCAACTAAGCATAGTGACAAACTGCAACTGTAACAGCAATGTGTTTCCTTACGGAAGTAGTTCAGTTCAGGTTCAAACACTGTGGAACAGAGGTTAAACTGCCACCTGTGACGCTTGCCTCCCACGTGGGAGTGCTGGTTTGAGTCCTAGCACATCTGCCTCCCATCTAGCTTCTTGCTAATGCACCAAGAAGAAGTGGATGCTAGTCCAAGTCCTTGAGGTCCTGCCATCCAGGATGAAGTTCCTGTCTCCTGGATTTGACCTCATTCAACCCCGGCTGTTGCAGTCATTTGAGGAGTGAACCAGCAGATGGGAGAGCCCTCTCTCTCTTTGCCTTTTGAATAAGTAAATAAATCAATCTTAAAATTTAAAAAAAAAGAGAGAGAAATCTGAATACTGACCTTCTTCGGTTGTGCGGGCTGATTTAGACTCACTATCCATTCCTTGGAACTCGTTAAAATACGGCCGCACTTTAATTTCGTAAGTCACTCCCTTTCTCAGGTTGACCAAGACGGCGCTCCTCTCAGTCGGGACCTTGGCATCTAGATGCTGCCATGTAGATGCAGCCTGCAGGCCTGAGGTCTGACGGTACATCACTCGGTAGCCTTGAATAAACTGGGGCTGGCGATCAACCTGAAAAACACAGCCAAGGGCAAGTGAATCTCAAGGGAAGCGTTCAGATATCCCAGTGGCTCTACTTGCTTGTCTATTCTTCCTGCTTCAGTCCTCACCACTACCCTAAGTGATGCCACAGATTTCTAGTTTATCTCTGTGTTTCTAATAATCTCTGCCAGTTCTGAGTTCACTTTGCCCCAGAGATAATTTCCAAAACAAAGGCAGGAAAAAACTCTCTTCCCTGCTTTTCATACCTCACAGTATCTATGAAACATATGTAGTTACTTCAAAACTTTAATGGGATATGAAATTAAAAAATAAATTAGGTAAGCATTTCAGATGCCAGTTAAGATACCTGTGTTCCACATCAGAGGAGTTGGGTTTGAGCCTCAGTTCCAGCTCCTGACTTCACCTTCCTGCGAATGCACACCCTGGGAGGCAGCGGCGGCAGCTCAAGTAATTTGGATTCCTGCCATCCACAAGGGAGACCTGGAATGTGTTCTCAGCTCCCAGCTTCAGGTCCAGCCCTGGCCCTGGCCCTGGCCCTGGCCCAGCCCAACCACTGCAGGCATTGGGGTAAGGAATCAGCAGACGGGAGCTGTTTGTGTCTATCAAATAAATTAATCAAGTAAATGTTTTTATTTGAAAGGAACAAGTAGAGGGACAGGGAGACAGGGAGGGAGGTGGAAGAGAGTGAGCACTTGCTCCCATCCACTGCTTCATTCCCCAAATGCTCACAAGATCTGCGGTTGGGCAAGCCTGAAGCTAGGAACTTGGAACTTCACCCAGGTCTCCCATATGGGTGGGCAGGGACTCCAGTACATGAGCATCATCTGTTGCCTTGCAGAATGTGCATTGGCAGGCAGCTAGATTGGAAGCGGGGATGGGACTTGATCCCAACCACACTGATAGGGGTAACAGGTGTCCCAAGCAGTGGCTTAACCTATTTGTCCCACAACACATACCCTATTTAAAATTTTTTAAACACATGTTTGTTTGGGTGCAAAGTTTTTTGAAGTCCATGCTAGATTTTTCACAATACACCTTTTCCATTAACTTTTCCAAGACCCCTCATAATAACGTTCATTTATTTTTTTCCATTACACAAGGGCTGTCAAGTCCTATAGCTACCAACTTTTCAAGTTTGTTGCTGATCAGTTTATCTTTTTCCTACGTTCAAAACTCCCATTTTTGTGGTTCTCTATTTACCATGCCATTTTCATCCCTTGTTCACTCACTAATATCTGCACTCATTACTATCATATGCCAAGAATTCAGCCAAGCTCTGGAGGCGGAGACAGTTCCTGACTTCTTAGAGTTTGGAGTACAGGTGGATAGTGGGTATTTCCTAATAATCATCCAAACACTAGTCATGTTATATGCATAACAAATAAGTGTAAGCAAGTGGTAGGAATGCAATATACTGGCGGTTAGGAAGCTCCTAGAGTGTGGAGGGAGCTGGCTGAGTCAGAGGGGAGACTCGGTTCCCCTGATGGAGTCACAAGTGCTAAGATCTGCAAGAAGAATGAGACTGAGACAGGGGATAAAGTGTGGGGACAGAAGTTATCACATCCCTGTGGCAGAAGAAGCATAGGAAAGAGATTAAATTTGGGGAGTTACAGCATCTGTTTTAAATGCATGTGGAAGCTTATACCCACTACCATGTAGAAAACTTCTATTAATTTACAAACTTCTGACTCCTTCAACAGTCTTACTCTTGACAAAGTTTTACAACATTCTGGATCTCTTATTTATTTAAGATATAGTGAGTATGTGTCTTTCATATCTGAGCCATCAAAAAAGAGTTTTTGTTCACTCTTATGATAACTGTACAAAAATCAAATATATAAAGTACAAGATAAAAAGTGAACATGTTTTTGTCTTTATACATTTATTAAAACATCTTTATAGAGGATTACAGCTGTTTCATTTTCAAGGAAAAGACAACTTCCAGTTTTCTTTTTAAACAATTCAAAAATAAATACTTTCAGATGTCTTGCTGTATCTCTGGAAATGGTTGTTGTAAACATAAATTATTACAGCAGCTTCCCCAGTTAATAGCCCATATCATAGTTTAACAGTCATATTCTAAGAGGCCTTAAATTTGACACATTTCCCTGCCAAATAATGTGTAAAGATTCATTGAAAAGAAATGGAATACCTTTATTTCAGAAATGCAGGGGAGAGGGGCAAATAGAGAAAGTGATGAAGGAAATAGTTATTGATTTCATCTGTTTAAAAGCTTCTTTTATACCAACTGATAGCATGGGAAAAACAAAAGGTATCCTTTCACGCATTAGCTTCTACCATTCTTTCTTAGTTACAGCATGTTTCTTTTTTTTTAATTGCAGGTGGTCAAGCTATGAATATTAGATTAAAATATTGACTCAATAATATTATTATGCAGAATCTTCATCAAAATATAGTAGAATGAAAAAATATATTTTTTTCTCTGTTGAAAATGTCCCATGCAGTTGGTGGGTACAACTGAGTTTCTGTATATATTTAATTCCAGTTTCTAGATGAGCCTCAACAACTATGAAGTCTCTTTCACATACACGACAGCTCTCTCACCCTCCCCGGCTCTCTAATGAGCAGTACACTTGAATGAAGTTATATCAAGAAAAAGTGAGGGAAAAAGTGAGGGCTGGTGCCGTGGCTCAATAGACTAATCCTCCGCCTTGCAGCGCCGGCACACCGGGTTCTAGTCCCAGTTGCCCCTCTTCCAGGCCAGCTCTCTGCTATGGCCCGGGAGTGCAGTGGAGGATGGCCCAAGTCCTTGGGCCCTGCACCCACATGGGAGACCAGGAAAAGCACCTGGCTCCTGCCTTTGGATCAGCGCAATGCACCGTGCAGCACGCCGGCCATAGTGGCCATTACAGGGTGAACCAACGGCAAAAAGGAAGACCTTTCTCTCTGTCTCTCTCTCTCACTGTCCACTCTGCCTGTCAAAAATTAAAAAAAAAAAAAAAAGAAAAAGTGAGCCCACATCTGATGTGGAAGCTCATGGTCTTGGAGTCCTTCTCCAAGCTCCCACTTTGGGACCAACTGAAATGATTTTTGCAGCAGTTGTTGCGACATTATACAACAACGCCTCCAAGAATCAAAAAGTTAAATTCATGAGAGCCCAGGAGAGATGTTTTTCATCAAAACTGTCCATGTTCAAAAAAATCCTTGCAGCATATGTTAAAACAACATCAAGCTCACATTTTATAAACTTTGCTGCATTTGCTTTAAGTGAATTTATATACTGAAAGAAAGACATAATTCACAATAATAGCTTGTTAATACTGAAAGAAGCAAGCTGTGTTTTTAAGAAGAACATTAAGCAGCTGTTTCCAGATGAAGGGAGTCTGTAAATCAGGGTAAATTGGTTTTATCCATGTTTGGTTTTCATTAATTAAGTGTTTTAGGGACTTTATGAAGCTAATGTTTACTACACAACATTGCCTTGCTTGTTTCAATGTACACTGCCTTCAGCCCATATATAGTAATGGACCACTTAATAACTAAATAGTTCAACTTGACTTTGTGCTGTTGAAATGTGTTGTTACAGGTGGAAGCAGAATGAACATGCTGAATACTACCTTCAAAATAAATAGCTGGATTTTTATTAGCTATATGTTTTATAGGTCTAACTTTTAAAGCTCATTTTGACAGGTGGTCATTTTCAAGTTAAAGCATATGTTTGTTACTAGTTTTGTTAACTTTCTAATTAGAAGAAGGCAAATTTTCTTCTAGCATTGATTACAATCAGAGTCTGGCCACAAATCCACAGGTTTACATAATTTAAAACACTAGTGGGTTTTTTTTTTTGACATATAAATAAAAAATAATTGTCATGGAAGAACTTCCAATTTCCAGTCATAACGCCTCCATTTAAATTGCATGTCAGCCTCTCAAACTCCTTGAGCCTCAGCTGACATAAAAGGCTCAAAAAATACCCATCTGTGAGGAGCGCGGAAATAATGAAATGACTGATATAAATGTAAGAACTCTGCAAGTGTTTGATGCAAAATGATAAAACTTAAGGAAAGTACATGCTAAAAATAAGGGACCATATGTGGCCTTCAAATCGACAGTTTCATTGAACTGTTTTCATGAGATACTTAAATGAGGGCATTCAAAAATTTCATGGAAAATATGTTTTTTGGAAAATATATGCATAGATTTCAAGGTTTTTTTTGCAGTGACACAGCATTTTTCCACTATATGAAGTGGTTTACATATATATATATAGATATATATTTCAATGTAAGCAAAACAAAACCTTCATCTAACCCGAGAATTCAGATAGAATTTTCTTTGGGGGCCTCACTGAACAGGTTCTAGTTGAACCCTGAAAGTCTCCTTTGAAAAGTACTCTTTTCAACTCTATTGTCCTGATGCTTAGAAGAAGGCAAAGGTCTATGGTTCTTTTTGTTCTGTAACAACAGAACAAATGGCAAAACCAAGCACTAGAATGCTAATTTTTCAGAAGGTGACTTACTGACATTTTATTTCATGGAACAGCAATTACCATACCACGTTTGCCTATTCTCATTATAACAGCCATAATTTTGTGGAAAGTAGCCAGAGCTATCTATTGTGGCTTCGAGCTTAGCTTGGAGGGGGCAGGAACATGGTCATTCCAGTTCAATCACACGCATTTGATAACAAAGCCTGCTTGTCACTGGGGAAACATTTACCTGGCTCCAAATCTAAACCCATGAGTGAGGCAAAGCAGGAGGGTACTTCAAGAAATTTGTGGGGGAAAAATGGAATTAAAAGATGAGTCTATTTTGGTGCAAAAACATGTTGGAATTAATGCTCAGTTTTTTCATAATACATACTTCCACGAACTTTTTGAAGACCTTTTATATACATGGGTTTTAAAATATTTTTGCACCAAAATCCACTTATTTTTAATTCAGTTTTCCCTGAGTCTTGCAATAGCCTTGCATTTCTACCCTGAAGCCCCAACATATCTCTAATTTGAATGCTAATTTTAATGAAGTGTGTTGATTAAAATAGCCTAC